AGTCACCAACCACAAGAATGCGCTTACCTTCATTAGCAGGGGCAGTAGTACCCTTACCTTCACTGGCCACTGAAGTACATTCATCCTGGAGAACAGAGAAGCGATTTCCTACCTTCAGATCTTCACTCTTAACTTTCCTTATTCTGATGCGCCTCCCATTACTGTGAACAACTCGCCACTTGTAGCAGGTGCTGGGCTGCACCTCACTGCTGGTAGCCGTTGCTACCTCCCCAACTACAGCCTCCTTACAGCGAGAGACAGACTGCACCTCACTGCTAGAAGTCTCATTCCCCACAACTCCAGCCACCTCACACTCTCTCCCAGACCCATTGAGGTGGACCTTCAGCCTCCTAATCTCCTCCTGGAGAAGCAAGACCTCCTCCTTCAACTCTCCAACCTCAGTTTTTAAAACACTGCAGAAGCAAGCCATGCTTTGTAACCGTCCACGCTAATCCCCAAAGCAGCTCAGGGTCTGTGACCTCACGTGACGACTGACCACTGACCAAACGACTGACCACTGACGACTATATAAGCGCCAGGATTCTTTCTTCTGCTTCAGAGTCTCCACGACTATGGTGCTGTTCGCACCTACTCCTAGGTTGAGGGACTGATTACCTCATCTTCTGTACATAGTTCTACTGTCTTCAAGTTATGTCCTAGAATTTGTGTTGATAAAGCCACTGGATGGCGAAACGTCTACAATAAAGATACCCAGATGTTGCACATGTGTCTTACTCTCATCTTGTCGGTATTATATACCATTCGTACACACATTTCTTTAGACTCACTTCTAAAACCTTGATAAAGGACAGAGGATAGTCTATTTGACAGGTATCCTATTATCCAGCAGATTAAGATACCACTAATATTTATTTTGGCTAGTTCATGTAGCATAACTGTTCTGTTCGCAATATCAAATGCAGTTTTTAGATCAAGAAAAGTGGTAATGTCTCCCTTGTTTATGCCCGTCATCCACTTATACACTTCAATGATATCTCCCCTCATTCTACGCCTCTCCAGAGAGTGGAGATTTAAGGCTTTAAGTCTATCTTCATACGGGAGGTTCCTTACACAGTAAATCATTTTAGTCATTCTTCTCTGTATGTTCTCTAATGAGTCTACGTCCATCCTGTAGTAAGGGGACCAAAATTGAGCAGCATAATCTAAATGAGGCCTCACTAGTGATGTATAGAGCTGTAAAATAACCTTTGGACTTCTGTTACTTACATTTCTTGAGATAAATCTAAGTAATCTGTTGGCCTTGTTGCGCACACTAAGGCACTGCTGTCTTGGCTTTAGATTCCTGCTCACCATGAATCCCAAGTCTTTTTCACATTCTGTATGATCAAGCTCTACTTCACCTAGTTTATAGCTTCGAGGGTTATTTTCATTACCAAATATTGCACATGTCTAATTTTCATCTTGTCAGTATTGTATTCCATTCATGAACAATACTGAATAATAATAATAATAATCATAATAATAATAATAATAATAATGTTGGGTGTTAATATTGCAGTTTAAAAACTGTTGTGTAAAGCACCCTTCTAGCAAGACAGTGATGGAGTGAATGATGGTGAAAGTTTTTCTTTTTCGGGCCACCCTGCCTTGGTGGGAATCGGCCAGTGAGCTAATAATAATAAAAAAAATAAAATAATAATAATAATAATAACAATAATAATAGTAATGATAATAATAATAATAATAATAATAATAATAATAATAAATAATAATAATAATAATAATAATAATAATAATAATAATAATAGGAAAAGGGCAATCACTCTCATCAATGTTTTCGATCATAAAATTAATCAGTTTCAACATTTCTTCTGAAGTTCTCTCTAATTTTTTCCTAATATGAGATGGAAGGTTTTCATGCCTGGATGTTTTGGACCAGTCATTTATGAGGTCATTTGCATTTTCAAGAGGGAAGGGATGAGCAACATTGCCAGGCTTTTACCTGGTTATTTTATTTATACCTTTCCAAGCCAAACTTAAAGGGGTGGACTTAGTTAATCCACTAACAAATTGTCCCCATTCCTTTTGCCAAAGTTCTTGCTTTCTATTCCGTGCATTTGTTAGTGCAACTTGAAATGCTCTGAGCAGGTCTGGGGTTCTACATTCACGGTATGCTTTACCAATCCTCCTAGCTGCATGTATTAGATTGTGTAGCTCTGGATCATTATAGTATTTATATTGGTTTTTATTGTTATTTATAGTGGAGGGTCTATGTTTTGTTTTCTTGCCCACTTGATCTGTGAGGACAGTCAGAATAGTGGTAACTAAATCATCATTAAATTTTTGTGTGCCAGTGGGCTGGAAATTCTTATACCATTGATCCAAGTGGTTAATAAAGTTATCTCTGTGTTCTTGGTTGAGAATAAGTTTCCTCCTTCTGAATTTAGCTTCTTAATTGCTGGAGATGTGATCAAGATTGACAGTTGTAAGTCTTTGGAAGTGATCAGATAGAAGTTCATCAACTATGACAGAGTCATGCATCGTATATGATGTATTAAATCCAAGGCACAGATAAAGTATGACACAATATATGTCAGTAGGCTCAATAGTGCCAACAATTCGAACATAATCATGCTCATTTAGCAATTTCACTAGTTTAGTTCCATTGGTGTTTGTTATAGACTCACCAAGGGCGATTACCAATAGACCCCTGGCAGTATTCAAGGAGGCACTGGACAAGCACCTAAAATCGGTACCTGACCAGCCGGGCTGTGGCTCGTACGTTGGTTTGCGTGCATCCAGCACCAACAGCCTGGTTGATCAGGCTCTGATCCACCAGGACGCCTGGTCAGGTAAACCAGTATTCTTATGTCTGGCATTAAAATCGCCGAGAATGAGGGTAGGTTCACGACTGATGCGAACTGGTTTGCACGGGCATAGAGATTAAAAATGTTTATGGAAAAATCGCCTGCATATACTTTGACACCATGATACTGCATGTTAACTCCACTCTGCAACGAGAGGAGTGAATGTGCAAGTTCTTTCTGACATACTTCACATAACAGTTGGTTGACCTTAGGTTATAATCTGCATATCCAGGCAACTTTGGTGGAGGTGCTCCATTTTTCAGTCTACATTCCTGCAAACAGATGACATCAATATTCTTGGTTGCACTAATATGATGTAAGTCAGACAATCGCTTCCTGATGGAAGCAACGTTCCATGACAAGATTTGTAATGTATCCATTGAAGTGAATTATTAGAATCTCTTGCTCATAAGGTGGTAAAGCTATTATGCTTTGGCTATAGTGTGCATGCACTTAAGAGCAAATAGCATAGTTTGTACGTGCTTATCTTCAGGACCTTTATTTTTAAGCATTTTTCGGCATCTTGGCAGCCAGTTAAAAGGCAAGTCTTGAAGCCAAGAGTCTTGGGATTCTTTATTACAAATTGCTTGAAACTGAATGGAGATTGCTGCACTTTTGACATTATCACCATACTCAAGAGCATCATCCTGATTACATATATTTATTAAACTTGTCAGGATGCTCAATTTTTTTCTGCAAATTTGTTATAATATAAGGAAGGTCAGGCGAATACAATGACTCTATGTAGGATGGCACTTCTGAGTTAGTGCTCTCTTTAACAACTGTCACCTTAACAGGTGCCATGGTTACATTAGTGTTCTCTGATGGTGCCTGTGGCAAGTCTGCCTCATCATTATTCATTGCAGGGAGGTCCTGTGCATCTGACTCATCTCCAGTTTCCAGGGGGGTTACCTGTGTGGTGTCTGACTGTTGCAGTTGTGTGTGTTGGATAAAATGAAAAGTTCATCCCCATATTCAGGTGTAGGGGTACGTGTCAGTAGTGGCAGATCAGTAGTTTCACATGTGCTAGCAGGGATGGCTGGTTTACGTCGAAGGTTGTTTGGGTTCCGACTGCAGTCCTTGTGGGAAGCTGTAACCCCAACTGTCAAGGCCTACATTGCATTCTGTAGTAGAAAGTGTCCCAGCACACTTACCACACCAAGAATTTCACAGGCTACTGCAACATGGCCATAGTGCAGGCATTTGTAACACCTGCGTCGAGGGGGTAGGTACACTTCGATGTTTAGGAAACGTAGGCCAGGCACCCAGATATTTCTAGGGAGGGGCACAGGGCCTACCCAAGTGGCAAAAATTTGGGATTTTCCTTTAAGTCTTTTAGGCTTGATGATATGCTCACTTATCTTAATGATATGCTCACTTACCTTAATGATATGCTTACTTATTTTAAAAATGACATTCAGGAAGACCATCAAGGTGGTATTGTGGCAAAGTAAAACTGTGGGTAGGAATTAATAGATTGTTTATTTGATAAATATCACCAGTTGTATTGCATGCAACATACTGCCAGACATGCAACACACTCTCAGACATGCAACACTGCCAGACATGCAACACACTGCCAGACAAGTCTGGACCAATGCCAGAATCATCAAGAAGAAAAAACGCTCAAAATTATTTCATAATTTAGGTTAAGTCATCTTTAGTAAACTAGACGCAAATATATTTATTTATTTTAATGATATACTTTCATGAATCATATCTTACTAGTATGAGTTCTCATATGACTTACTAAACCAGATTTTCGAGAAAAGTTTTTCAGACACATTGAGCACTGATATGGTTTCTCTCCAGTATGAGTTCTCATGTGATCTACTAATGTTGATCTATGAGAAAAGTCTTTTAGACACACTGAACACTTATATGGTTTCTCTCCAGTATGAGTTCTCATGTGTTTTACTAATGTTGATCTATGAGAAAAGGTATTCATACATTCTGAACACTTATATGGTTTCTCTCCAGTATGAGTTCTCATGTGACATACTAATTCAGTCCTTTGTGAAAAGTCTTTTTGACATTGTGAACACTGATATGGTTTCTCTCCTGTATGAGTTCTAATGTGATATTCTAAATAAGTTTTTCTAGTAAAGTTTTTCAGACACACTGAACACTTATATGGTTTCTCTCCAGTATGAGTTCTCATGTGACGTACTAATTCAGAACTTCGTGAAAAATCTTTTGGACATTGTGAACACTGATATGGTTTCTCTCCAGTATGAGTTCTCATGTGAGATACTAATTCAGACCTTTGTGGAAAATCTTTTGGACATTGTGAACACTGATATGGTTTCTCTCCAGTATGAATGATCAAGTGCCTTTTTAAAGTATATTTTTTAGAAAAAATTTTCAGACATACTGAACATTGATATAGTTTTTCTCCACTATGAGTTCTCATGTGTTGTAGTAAATTACAATTATCAGAAAACTCTTTAAGACACACTGAACGTTGGGTGAGAGATACGCACTGAAGTTCTTGAGAAGGGTGTTGTAGCGAGTGTGAATGTTCATCAACACCTGTACGTTGCTTTGCCTTAAAACACAGTTTTTCAGATGTTTTCAACATAATGAGTAATGATATTGTCGTTTATTAATTTACTTAACTATGCTTTTAGTGTAGTCACTGTATTAACACTATATTTAGTATTCACAGAATCTTCAGATTTGTAACAGTGATATTGGTACTGCAAGTGTCAGTGTAGTATTGACACTACAAGTATCAGAATATTCTGCCAGGATACCTGAAGTATTGACACAACAAGAGCCAGCCTCAGGTGTCAGGATGACCTGCAAAATAAATAAAATATATAACCTCTTATTATTATTATCATGTAAAGTAAAAGGACACAAGTGCAACTTATGTGACATTTTATTGTGGCAACGTTTCGCTCTCCAGGAGCTTTGTAATATAGTTGGTAGAATTATGTGGAAACGTTCGCTCTCCAGGAGCGAAACATTTCCAAAATAAAAATGTCACATTAGTTGCACTTTACATCATCATCATCATCATTATTATTATTACTATCATTATTATACAGAATTGTACATCAATGGTATTCAATACCGACGTGATGAAAATTAGACATGTGCAACATCTGGGTGGCTTTTTCAATACAAATTCTAGGAAATAATTTGAAGACATTAGAAATATATACAAAATATATGGTAATCAGTACCTCAGCCTCGGAGTTAGTGTGAAGAGCACCGTAATCCTGAAGAATCTTCAGGACTACGGTCCTAAAATTTGTATTGATAAAGCCACTGGATGGCGAAACGTCTACAATAAAGATACCCAGAAGTTGAACATTTCTCTGATTTTCATCAGTTATAGAGATGTTTAAGCTATTGAATAATTATGGGAAAAATTAATGGTATTTATGTGAGTCCTGTGTGAGTTGTAATAATAGTTTAAACTAAAAAATGTTAGTGGTGACCTAAATTTGTCCTCTTTCCTATAACAACAACAATGAACTTACCTTCACTAGCAAGAGTTGTTTGGATGGTCTTCACTAGGATGGTATCACCCTTCCTAATTGATATCGACAATTTTATTAAACAGACTCATAAGCAAACACTAGTATATAGTTGACAGCAAATGTTTATGTCAAGGGATCTTGATCGCTTCTAACAGACGATGATTAAAATGAAAGCATATATAGGCTGAGAGTGAAGTGTAACACCTGACATAAAGGTCACGTGACTCAAACGCAACTTATAACAATATAAGAAAGTAAGAACACTGCAGCAGGCCTGTTGGCCCATACTAGGCAGGTCCTTTACAATCTATCCCGCTAACAAAACATTTGCCCAACCAAATTTTCAATGCTACCCAAGAAATAAGGTCAGATAACTCTATCCACTAATATATGCAAGTCCTGTTCAAATCCAACACCTCTCGCTCATGTATTTATCCAACCTAAATTTGAACCTTCCCAAGGTTTTAGCCTCAATAACCCAACTAGGAAGACTGTTCCACTCATAAAAACATAAGAACATAAGAAAGGAGGAATCAAAGACTAATCCAAAGGGGTTCTTTCAAGTGTATAACGAAGGTGAAGGAAAAATTAGGACCTCTGAAATCTGGGAATGGACAGCTGACGGATAATGAACTGGAAATGTGTTCCTTATTTAATGACTATTTTTTGTCAGTTTTTACACAGGAAGATGTAAATGAGATTCCAGTAATTAACAATTATTTAGTTCCTGATGAATTTAAGTTAACTAATATCACTGTCATGAGGGACATGGTTATTAAACAGATAGACAAACTGAAACAAAATAAGTCCCGGGACCCGATGAGCTGTTTTCAAGGGTACTTAAGGAATGCAAGATGGAGCTTAGTCAGCCATTAACGAGTGTACTCAATGCGTCCATCCTTACCAGTGTTGTGCCAGAGTTGTGGAAGATGGCTAATGTGGTTCCTATATTCAAATCAGGGGATAAGTCCACTCCTTCAAATTACCGTCCAATAAGCCTGACATCTATAGTGGGCAAGTTATTAGAATCAATTATAGCTGACATTTTCAGAAGTCACCTTGAAGAGCATAACTTGATAAATGAATCTCAGCATGGATTCACGAGAGGTCGTTCCTGCCTGACAAACTTACTGACGTTTCTTCAATAGAACATTTGAGGCAGTTGACAGTGATAAGGAATATGATATTGTTTATTTGGATTTTAGTAAAGCCTTCGACAGAGTACCTCACAAGAGACTCTTAAGAAAAGTGGCAGCTCATGGTATAGGAGGTAAAGTTCTAGCATGGATTGAGGCATGGCTTACCAATAGAAAGCAGAGAGTTTTCCATTAATGGAGTGAAATCTGAATGGGGATTAGTCACTAGTGGCGTTCCACAAGGATCAGTTTTAGGCCCTCTCCTGTTCATAATTTACATTAATGACATCGATGAAGGGATTACTAGTGACATGAGTAAGTTTGCTGATGATACAAAGATAGGCCGTATAATTCACTCTGAGGAGGATATCAATGAACTCCAGGACGATTTGAACAAATTAATGTCTTGGTCGGAAAAATGGCAGATGAAGTTTAATGTGGATAAGTTGGTTTAGAAAGACACGTAAGCAAACACTATAACATATTTATTAGAAAACGTTTCGGTCCTGGAACCTTGATCACTTCTAACATACAGAGGTAGAAAGACAGGCAGAGAGTGAGATGTGACGCACGTGACCTGAGGAATGTCATAAGAACATAAGAATGGAGGAACACTGTAGAAGGCCTACTGGCCCATGCGAGGCGAGGGTAGACGATGAAATCACGTGACTCCTGTGTTGTTGGGTTGGTGCTGCTTAAGTATCATGTATGCCAACCCAACAACACAGGAGTCACGTGATTTCATCGTCTACCCTCGCCTCGCATGGGCCAGTAGGCCTTCTACAGTGTTCCTCCATTCTTATGTTCTTATGACAATCCTCAGGTCACGTGCGTCACATCTCACTCTCCGCCTATATATATAATGTCTTTCTACCTCTGTATGTTAGAAGTGATCAAGGTTCCAGGACCGAAACGTTTTCTAACAAATATGTTATAGTGTTTGCTTACGTGTCTTTCTAAACCAACTTGTCGATTTATTACCATTTATACCAAGTGATAAGTGTAAGGTACTTGCCCTTGGTAATGAAAATAACCCTCGAAGCTATAATCTAGGTGAAGTAGAGCTTGGTCATACAGAATGTGAAAAAGACTTGGGAGTCATGGTAAGCAGAAATCTAAAGCCAAGACAGCAGTGCCTTAGTGTGCGCAACAAGGCCAACAGATTACTTGGATTTATCTCAAGAAGTATAAGTAACAGAAGTCCAAAAGTTATTTTACAGCTCTATACGTCACTACATAAGAAAGGAGGAACACTGCAACAGGCCTGTTGGCCCATACTAGGCAGGTCCTTTACAATTCATCCCACTAACAAACATTTGACCAACCCAACTTTCAATGCCACCCAAGAAACAAGCTCCGATGTGCAAGTCCCACTCAAATCCAACCCCTCAGGTACATATCCAACCTAAATTTGAAACTACCCAAAGTCCTAGCCTCAATAACCCAACTAGGTAGACTGTTCCACTCATCAACTACCCTATTTCCAAACATAAGAACATAAGAAAGGAGGAACACTGCAGCAGGCCTGTTGGCCCATACTAGGCAGGTCCTTTGCAATTCATCCCACTAACAAACATTTGACCAACCCAACTTTCAATGCCACCCAAGAAACAAGCTCCGATGTGCAAGTCCCACTCAAATCCAACCCCTCATGTACTTATCCAACCTAAATTTGAAACTACCCAAAGTCCTAGCCTCAATAACCCAACTAGGTAGACTGTTCCACTCATCAACTACCCTATTTCCAAACCAATACTTTCCTATGACCTTGATGAAGGGATTACTAGTGGACATATAATTGCTATGATACAGATAGCCGTATAATTCACTCTGAAGAGGATATCAATGAACTCCAGGACGATTTGAACAAATTAATGTCTTGGTCTGAGAAATGGCAGATGAAGTTTAATGTGGATAAGTGTAAGGTACTTGCCCATGGTAATGAAAATAACCCTCGAAGCTATAATCTAGGTGATAGTAGAGCTTGGTCAATAAAGTAAAAAGTTGGTAAGAATAACTAAATAGTAAAGTCAAGGGCACAAGTGCCAACATTGACATTTATTGTGCAACGAAGTTAGCTCCAGAACTTTATAAGCTAAAAAGCCGAGATGTTGAAACGTTGCCAACAATAAATGACATTAATTGCACTTGTGACCGTTTTACTTTACAGTTGGTTCATTACAGAATGGAAAAAGACTTGGATATGTAAGCAGAAACTTAAAGCCAAGACAGATCAGGCCACACCTTGCCAACTAAGGCCACAGTTCATTGGAATATATTCAAGTTTATAGTAACGAACAATTAAAGTTAAAATACAGAATGCTTTAGTAAGACACATAGCAACAGTTAGGTTTGGTATTTGAGTTTCCGCCTACCAGTGGCTTCTCAGTCGAGTACAAGAAAAGTTGATAGAAGCAGAAGATACTTGAAGCGATGTAATCAGCCCATCACCCTTAAAGTTTGAGGTGGTCCAGTCCCTCAGTCTGGAGAAGAGCATTGTTCCTTTGTCTGAAACAATATGAAGTTGAAGTGACAGAATGGGGC